TTCTCGGAGCGGGCGCGTAGGCGCGGCGCGACTGCGTGCGGCGCGCGCGTGCCGAACTCGAGGGCGAGCACACGCGCCATTTGCTGCTGCTCGGTGAGCCGAAGTACCTCGAACGGCAGGAGGCGTCGCTGCGGCAGCAGCTCGACTCGGCGCGCAAGATGGGCGCGCTTGCGGGCAGCCTCGCCACGCGGCAGGCGGAGCTGCGCCTTGAGCTCTCCGAGGCGCGCCCGCGGTATGCGGCGGCGGTCGCGAAGGTCAAGAAGTTGCAGGCCGACTTCGAGGCGACGCTCTCGGAGCTGCACTTCGGAGGCAAGCGCGTCAATTTGATGGGCGCAATCAATGCGCTCTAGAAGCTGCACCGGCTGCTGCGCGCCAAGCGCTGTTCTCTTTTGTAGTAAATAAAATAAATAAAAACGGACACCTCTCTACTGTGAGATGGGTAAAAAGGAACAGTAGTAAAACGCGTCGCGCTAGTGGGGGAAATGGCTCAGTGTGCGAATAAATTTTTTCCGCCGCTCTTCTGGGCCGGTATGCACCAAAAGTGTTCGGTAGACCAGCCTCTCGGTACACGCCACGGCCCCGGGCTAGGCCCGATGCGTCCGCTACCACGCTCCAAACATGCGCACCGTCCTGCTGCAGGTCGCCATCAAGGAGCCGTCCTCGTCGTGTACGTCGTGCTGCCGTCGCGTGTACCGAGATGCCTCGCAACCGAGGCCTCGGCCGAACGGGCAAGAAGCATAAGAAATCAGCCAACGACAACATCCACAGGCAGCCCAAGGCGACCACCGAGCCCACGGTCGCCACCGAGGCGCCGGAGCCGCCCGCCGCGCCCGACACCTCGCCGAAAATGGAGGTCGAGCCGGCAGCGCCCGACGCGCAGGCGCTCGCGACAGGTGCGGCTGCTCGGCGACGTCGAGCGTGGTGCCCGACGGCTCAGGAGCCTTCTACCATAAACCACTACCACGGCTGCCACCGTCGGCGCCTTCGCTCGAGCTCTCCGAGGCCGCGTTCTGACCTCGTGCCGCGGCTGTTGTCGCTACAGCAGCGACGAGGGCCGCGGCAAGGGGTGCAGCGGCGACGGGGGGGGGGGAGAGGCGCGGCCAGCTACCGGGTCGTTGCCCCCGCCCACCGCGCCGGGCCCCTGCACCCGGAGGCGGCTTGCGGCAGCCTTCCTGTGTCTCCGTGAAACCGCTTGGGTAGCCGGCCATGTGTGGGCCGCTGCCGGAAAAAATCCGGGGTTTAGCTGGCGTATCTCGGGCCCACT